ACACACACACACACACACACACACACACACACACACACACACACACACACACACACACACACACACACAGTGAATATGTTTGTGAACCGAGTTAGAAGTAGCCATTCTAGAATTATCTACGCGTGACGTGCTCTATTCACCTGCATGATGCAGTAACAACTATTCTAGGACGGCTATTGTACAATTCTAACTTGGACCGCAATGTGTACACACAACACGTATTACATAACAGCACGTAACAGAGTGTCTACTGATTTTGTGTGACGATGTGTCATAATATGTCATAATATGTCTTTTCCTTTTCATGAAGAATTTTATTAGTTTTATTCGTTTTATTATTAGTTTTATTAGTTTCCGAAATGTCGCGCGCATTTTAGTCGTCAAGGAAAATCAGTCAGAAAAGACTAAAATAAAATATTTTGGGTTTTTTTGGGTTTTTTTTTTTTTTTTTGAAAGATTTGAAAGAACGAGTGAAACACACTCGGTAGACACTCTACATTGGCAGACAAACGACATGCGACTCTAGGAATATAGTTGATTAGCATAGAGCACAAGCAAGCACTATCTATAGAGGACAGTTTTCAAATGTTGAGAATGCCGAATGCTTTTTTTAGACACACCTAAAATCTCTTAGCTCTAATCAACGACTAATACTGCGATCTGATCGTTTAGCTTCAACTTTATATACGTGTTACTTTTCTAATTATTGCACTAGGTGTATGCGTACGAATCGCGGACAAAAATACCGGAAACTTTCTTAGTGTTGCTCTCAATAATTGATTACTCGGCTGTTACAAATGTTACTTAATATCCGGGAAAACTGAATACTCGAAATAACCGGAAAAATCTGATATATCGACAGCATTGATTTGCTCTTGATTTGCCGATTCTCTGGATTCAATGGATCTACATTCGCTTCTGGAAATTTTTTCATAATTATACACATTTTATTTCATAATATAAAAAAATGATAAAATAAAAGACAATCTTCTTTATAATCAATGTGAGCCGAGATAAGTTTTAAAACAATGAGACAATAAATGGCATCGTTCGGCAAATAGGATCTTAGGTGTCTTATAATTTAGCATTTTTATTAATTGAATTTATATTTATATTAAATTTACATTATATCCATATAAAATTTATATTTATATCTATTTAATTGAATTTGTATTTATAAATTCAATTAATAAAAATGAAAAATTTTAATACATCTAAGATTCTGTCTATCGAGCAATGTCATCTTTTATCGTATTAACTTTTTTAAATTTTTATTTTATAATCGAATGTAAAAAATTTGAATTTTGTAGCTTCGTATTTTATTGTGTCAACGCATATAACAAAAATTATATTTGATATATTCTCTAGGAATTCTGTAAGTGCCTTCCAGAGGTAGATGCAGATCCGATGAACCCTTACTCGGTAGACAGAGGGTTAACATTGTCGGAAATATTTGTCAGAAAAAGACAGCAAATTCGAACAGTCGACGAAGTTCTCCGCGGAGTGCACGTTTCGTTTCTAATGTTCTCTTTATCTTTGATCTTTCACTTTTTTTACTAACTTCTCATTGACGTTAGAGGGCAACTCCACTCGCAAGAATCATCGCCGAGAGCAGCTTTCGAGAGCGAACGACTCGACATGCACGGCCTGAGCAGTCTCTCTCTCTCTCTCTCTCTCTCTCTCTCTTCTCTCGTCGTACGTACGACGTACGT